CACGACAATTGGAACTTATCCGTTGTCATCTGTGAAACGGATATTCCATAACAGTCAACCAACACTTGATGGCGTCCGGTCCGTACAATTTACGAAGTGACGATTTCAACTTCATCACTTGGAACTCTTGGTTTAATAGCTTCCTTGTGAGCAGCAGCCCTCTATCAAGAAAATCATGATAGGAAATACAATCCCTGGAATATCGTATCAACTTGGAGATATATACTCCGTATGCAGATGCTGCTGGAATGTTGCTGCATTAAAATAGGAAGTTCACAATTGGGATGCCGAAATCATCTCTTTTGCCGTCAAGTTTTGTTTTCAACCGACCCTCATTGTCAATTTCTAGATTTCAGTCAAGATATAAGGCAGACTTAACTGTATCTGTTGTACCTTTATCTCAAGTTCTATGGGATAGATATGTTCAACATACTAGTAGTCACACCAAATTTTGAATTATTTAGTGAAAAACATCATCTATATAGCGGAAAGTGAAGTTAAACGATACTGCTAACTTATTTTCTTTCTTCTTATTAAGTTCCTGTATGAAGTCAGCCTCATATGAATAAAGTAACAAGTCGGCAAGAATAGGAATACGTCCTCCAAACATAACAAATATGTTGTCAATCAAGAAATCAAGCATCTTTTGTTAATGTCAGTTTCAGAGAACTTTTTGTATGAATCCGAGTGATTTGTTACAAAGTACGATTTATCCCTTCCCTAGGACAAGAAACTTGTATCTACGTAGGCCATTCCTTTTTATGAAACAAAGCAGGACCATCTCTTTCAATTTTTCTTTTAGTTTGGAATGGGGAATACTTGTGTAAAGTGTAGAAAAGTCTAATGTTGTAATACTATTGCAAGATGAAAGAGTTTTAAATTGTATGTACTCTAAAAGATCTTTGGAATTTTTTTTAGTATCTACTTCTGATTCACGCCACCACTAGAATAGATAGTTTCACAATAACTTTTAAGCCCGGCTTTGATTGCTGATAAAATTTATGTTAATTATTTAGAAAGAGGTTTCGTGGACCACTTGGAAGAGCCTGCTATGTAACTTTGTTTGTAAGGACACTTATGTAGTTTAGGTATACAGTGAAGACAGATCCAGTTTTTCATCTTTGGTTGAAATTCTAAAGGAACATAGAACAGACCTATGATTATCTAGGATTTGCTCCATGGTAAGTGTCGCGGGGGTATATGATGAGTTTCCTAGTGAATTGTCAATACCTAATGCATTTATCAAGCAGTTTATGTAATGTGTACACACAAAAACGATGTTGTTTTGGGCTTTATCTGCGGGGACAACATATTTGTCATGGAGGTGGGACAGGTGTTTTACAACATTTGATGTAGCATGGGTATTCATAGACCCATTTAGATTTTAAAGTTTGTTTCCAGATTATCAATGCGTGTGTTCGTATCGCCAAACATGTTGCGCATTTGGCTCAGAATGCGCAAATCAGGAGATATACTTGGGTCTACATGTCCTTCAGCTTCCGTAATTACATTACTCACGGACTTGGTTGTTTTACCCTCAGCACTACCACTGACTGTTACCTAGAGATGTTTAGTGCGTTTTTGTCGTTTCGTAGTTTTTACAGAATCTGACTCGCTGTCACTGAATGTTGAAAGTTTTCTTTTAAACTTATTTGATTGAGATTGCTTATTGTCAAACAGATCTCCGAACAGAGTTTCGTCATTATGGTAAATTACGTTATGTGCTTTTGTGATCGCACCAATTACACTCACTGAATAATCTTAGGTATTACTATCCATGTCTCCATTGTTTTTAGTTTTGTCCTGAGTAGATTCTTCACTAGGTTTACCGTTACCGTTACCGTTATTCTTTTTACCCATTTAAATGGCAAAGTCCAACTACATGACAAATGGCCTATGGGTATTAAGTTTCTTACTTTAACATACGTTGGTTAGTGAGTTGTTTTCAGTTATGTCAATGCAAAAATTTCAATAAGCTTTGTATAGTTTAAGTCTTGTTATATTGTGATAAACAGCAAAAATCAACACTCACTGCAATGTAGAATTATGACGGAAGCACATCATCTATTCCAAAATTTCACAGGTTCTATTAATCCTTGTTAAAATTGTATATTTTGTATAAGCTTCAAAACATCGACCATCTAAATCAAGGGAGATAATGTATTATGTACCCTTACATATCTTTCGAAACTTTTAGTATCCGCATTTCATTCACATTGCCCCACATCGTTTCATAGTTACTCTAAAGACCGGCTTTGATTGCTGATACAACTGATGTTAATAGTTTGGAAAGATGTTTAACGAAGCACTTGGCGGACCCAGCAATGTACTGTTGTTTGTAAGGACACTTATGTAATATTGGTATCCAGTACAATGAAGGAAGATGAAGTTCTTCATCTTTGCCTGAGATTACAAAGAAATATATTTGTCGTTGAGGTAAAACAGATGTTTAGCAACGTTAGATCTTTGAAGATAGATGTAGCATGATTGTTAATAATAACCTATTCTTAAACAATATCCACGTCTTCTTTTTCGTGTTTAGCCCATTGCCTCAGATAGTCCTCGACTGAATCCATTAGTATTTTAAAAATGATCTTCCAATTTATGGATTCAGGCTCACGGTATTTCGGTCCTTGGTTAACACATTATGAAGATAAGTGTTGTTGAAAATGTTCAGGTGACCAGTATTAAATTGTCCCGCATGATATAAATGAATGGGATACTAGCAGAGGTGCAATCAGGAGATTTAGACTGGAAGTAGTCAACATTGAGTCCTGAACACGTGTTTACTACTGTGCTTATCCTGAAGGCTTTGGCCTATCACAATACCAATTGCTCAAATAGTTTACCAAATTGCAGTTTGAATTCATCTCAACAAACTGATCAACTGGTAAAATATTTGAGCTAATTGCTTCAGTGATAGGTTGTTAGTATGAAGTCAGTGCAGTGAAATAAAAATAATGCTTACCATCCAACTTCAGTTATTTAATGTCTGTGAAAGGAAATTGAATTGAAATAACCATCTACTATAATATAAGGAAGGCATTTGTTTAATATGTCTGACTTTGACATGAAAATTTCTATTCTAATGAGATTTTATAAATAATTTATTGCTTTGTTTTCTAACAGGCCGTTATTGTGTAATTTTAATTTTGATGTTTTTTTCTATGAAAATTTCTGATCTGCTGGCATTAAAGGAAAATAATTTTTATTCAGTCATTGTAAAAAAAAATAATCAAAGATACCAGGTTTATGATTTTGTATGCCAGACGCAAGTTTTGTCAACAGCAGAGTCATCAGTGAGACTCGAATAAAAAAAAATTGAAAGGCCAAATTGAGTACGAAGTGGAGCATTGAGGAAACAAAATTCCGAAAGGTTTTGCCAAATACTGCTTATAAGTAATCTAATCCTCAAGTGTAGAAAATCCTTAGTATTTTGGACAATTCAATTTTTTGCAAAACAGTTAATTCATAATTTTGACCATATGAATGATAATTTATGTCAACACAGAATTGCTGACTATTGGGCTGGTGATACCTTCTTAATTTACATAGGAATATGTATGATTTATACATTGACTTTGAATGTGTCCCATAAGATGTTTTCAATAGTTTTTTTTTCAAAATTTTAATCATCTTAAAAAAAGATTTCTGTGTTCTTTTACAATGTAAGAACAGATGATAATAGTTTATAAACATGGACATAATGTTAAGAACAATTTACTTATAAAATGTCAATATGAAAGAAGTTGAGAGTTGACAGAACAAAATTTTGCTGATTATATAATGGAAATTATTTCCCTTTATCATTAGCAGATTAGGAATTGCTTTAAAAAAACAAAGCTATAAATCATTGACTAACAAAACAATGTTTTGAACTAACTATTTATAAAGTTTATTAAGGAAAGAAATTGGCAAATTAAAAGAAAGTGTAAGGAAAGATTGTTTCTCCGTAACATCTATCTTTCTTAATGACCATTGGTTGTACAGAAAATGAATTTTCGAGAGTGATAGCGAATATAGCTTCATTCGGATGTGATGAATATCCAATAACTTTTGCATAAACGGCAAAACGTCATCACTGGAAACATCATGCATAGAAGAGATGTTTATGACGATGGCATTGCTGTGTCTACAACGAGGAGCAGAGTTGAAAATATTCATCACAATAACCGAGTTTCTGGATGGACTAGATAGAATACTTATACAACATATTTTGTCATTGAAATTGAAGGGTGTCGCAGATGCCATTCCTCGAATCCAGTAGTCTAATCCTTTTGTCTACGGAGAGATGTTGCAAGATAAGGATGGTTAGTCCTGTTGTATATTTTTTTCGATGCTGCGAACTCGCGTAGAAAAGATTTGATGAACAAGTTTATCAATTTTTTGTGTGTTGCTACTGATGAAAACACAAAGCATCTAGATATCACTGCAGTGCTAAAACCATTTTCAAAGTAGTGGCAATCTTTGGTAAGGAGTATATATTTTGGTAGTTGTTGCATGGCAGTACGTTTGGCCATGAAAGGAACATTTACTTGCACCAACTTTTCCATCGTTTGTCATCATAACGAAACCCTTACCATTACCCGTTCTTTTGTATGTGTGATATATCAATGTTAAGTAAGTACCAATGTAGATATGATTTCAATACGGAGTGAATACGATCATAAAAATCTAAACAAAATCGTTCATGAGAAAGAAATTAGCTAGAGAAAAAATTACACGAAGGCACGAAACTCTATTATGTAATATGTAATTTAAGTATGAAATAACATATTTGCGGAAAGAATAATCTATAAGTAAAAAGAAAAGTAATGCATACAGTTATGGCGTTTAAAATAGATCATTTGAATTTGCTCTTTAATCTAGATAAGATAAATTTTATAATGCGTAATTCAATGCATAATGTATTTATATTGTCATTTTAAATGAACACTGCATTTTTCGAAAATCAAATATGCCCTTGACACAAATGACACATCAGTATTTAAATTGTTTGCTTACCTTTTTTTTCAGTTGTCATGGTTGGGACTACTGGGATATATACAACTACATCAAATCAAAAAAGGAAGAGGTAAGTCCAATATAGTAATATCTTATATTTATTTATCTTAATTCTTTAATAAAGCAGCAATTAAGAAAAAATCAATTAAAAAGAACAATTCAGATGTTTTGATATAAAAAAAAGTAAGAGGGTGGGTGCATAAGGATAAAACTTTTTAATGTCCCATTATAAATTTACTTACCCGACAGATTTAAAGCAACTTGTGATATTTGTTAAGGGAAACCACATAATGAGATGAGTGGAATTTTGTTACTGTGACTTGACTATAGGTGTTGCTGTTCACCTTTACCTATTGTTTCAACCTGATTGTAAAATTGACAGTACAATCGGGACATTTAAATTGACCAGTTGCCAGATTTAAATCTCACTGAACCAGTAAGAATCTACCTTGATGGATTTACCTATGAAAGGTTCATGAAGTGGTTAAATTTTGTTCAAACTTAAAACTGACTATTGTTTATTTATAGATGAAAACAGCAACTTTTCAGGAAAATATCATTTGATATTTTAAAAAAGATTCATCTATTCCAATAACAATAATAATGATAACAACAATAATAATGTAAATCTGTTATTTTTTGAAATGAAAATAAATAGTACATGATCAATTAAGTAATTTTGTAATCTGAAATTATAAAACCAGTGCTAATTTCAGTAAATAACATGACATGCCTACAGTTTAAATTAGCATACACTGTATATGGTATGAAAAAAGCTTGAGTATGGCCACAATATACAAACGATTCCATGTTCTAATTTTTGCTAAAAACTGCTGATTTTTTTTTAATTTCATTTCCCCTATGTTTTTCTTTAGAGAATCCTAAAATAAGTAAAGGAAATATACATTGAAATGAATGTATTCGTAAATGGCCATACAATTGCCAAAGAAACAATTTTACATTTAGAAGGAATACGAGAGATTTTTACTTTATTGTCATTTTCAAATGTAAGGAGTGAGCAAGCCAGAACAAGAATATATATGTTTTTTCCCTTGCAGGGTATTTAATTGCATGTCATATAACATGTGTATAATGCACTACATTTCCTCTTAATTTTTTCATAGCCAAATACTATGAGTGCTTGGATTTCTTTTATATCGTTGAAAAGTCCTTTTTCATCTCTTTGGCTTTTTCTAAAGGGAGATAACTCAAAATATTTTTTTTAACTCTTGTGTAAATCTTAATTATTTTTTAATTTCCATAATTTTCCAGGATTAATAAACACCAGAACAAATGTGTGCATTCTTTCATTTAAACATTTGTTCAATACTTATTGACATGAGCCTTGTGCAAAGTGTTTATGCATAGTGAAATATAAAAAGTAATAGTTATGAATGAACTGTTCATTCATTTATTTATTGACACAGATTTTTGATATTCCATCTAGTATTCCAGTTTCATTATTTGAAGTAATTTTGAAATATTTCCCTAAATCTATTAACTTTTTGGAATATTTTCTTACATTTTTCACTATATCACTCGATTTTTTTCTATATCCAAAGTATTCTCTTTAATTTCCCATGATATATATCCCAATTAACAGGTGCAGAGTCTTTATATTAGATCCAGAATTTTGTAATTTTTGATTATTTCCAATATCACATTACAAATTTTTGGGATATATTATTCATATTTTCCCTTAAATCACTTGATTTTACTATATCCACAGTATTCAGTTTTTATTTTATTTCCCATGATATATATCCCAATAAAACAATATCAGATCCAGAATTTTATAATGATTATTTCCAATGTCACATTCAAAATTGTTATCCTCATGTTATGAAGTTTTTGGGAATATTTTACTTTTATTATTTACTTTATCACTAGATTTGACTATATCCACTGTATTCACATTTTATTTCATTTCCATGATATATATCCAAAATTAAACAGGTGAATCATCTTCATATTAGATCCAGAATATAATAATGATTATTTTCAAAATCATATTTAACATTTAAATAGGCTTACTTCATACAGGAACTTCTGAGGAAGAAAGATAAGAAGTTAGCAATATCCTTTAACTTTACGTTCCGCTATATAGATGATATTCTCTCACTCAATAATACAAAATTTGGTGACTATGTTGAACGAATCTATCCCATCGAACTAGAGATAAAGGATACTACAGATACAGTTAAGTCTGCCTCATATCTTGACTTACATCTAGAAATTGACAATGAGGGTCGGTTGAAAACTGAACTTTACGACAAAAGAGATGATTTCAGTTTCCCAATTGTGAACTTTCCATTTCTATGTAGCAACATTCCAGCAGCGCCTGTATACGGAGTATATATCTCGTAATTGATACGATATTCCCGGGCTTGTATTTCCTATCATGATTTCCTTGATAGAGGATTGCTGCTCACAAGGAAGTTATTAAACCAAGAGTTCCAAATGGTGAAGTTGAAATCAACCCTTCGTCAATTTTACGGACGCCATCACGAGTTGGTTGACCGTTATGGAATAACCGTTTCACAGATGATATCGGATATGTTCCTTATGTCGTAACTACAATACCCTTCCCTTTTCACGAATGTGACCTACCGAATTAGACTATTTACCGGATTTGTAATAACATAAGCAACACGACGGGTGCCACATGTGGAGCAGGATCTGCTTACCCTTCCGTAGCACCTGAGATCACCCCCAGTTTTTGATGGGGTTCGTGTTGCTTAGACTTTAGTTTTCTATGTTGTGTCATCTGTACTATTATTTGTCTGTTTGTCTTTTTGTTTTTGGCCATGGCGTTGTCAGTTTGTTTTCGATCTATGAGTTTGAATGTCCCTCTGGTATCTTTCGTTCCTCTTTTTTAGCCACAGAAACATGGTGGTTGAACTTATTTCTCCTACTTGCATTCCAGTTTTGATTTTTTTTACCTTTTAGATTCACTAAATTCCATCTTATAAAAAGTGAATTCCATTGAGTGAACACAGTATTTTTATGCACAAAAATCCTCATAGATTTCAAAGAAAAACACTGCAAACTATACTCCAAAATTATTTTGGCTTTTACATGTACATCATCATGTAAAAGCCGCACAAAACATTTTGAATGAATTATTTCCTCCTTGATACATTTATGACAACCCAGTCAAAGTCACATTTTAAGAAGCAATATTAAATGGCATCTAAGAAGTGAATTCAAATAAAATAAATCCAATTTTTTTATGCACATTGATTCAAATAGATTTAAAACACTGCGAATAATAATCCAAAATGAAAAATGTGAAGGGATATATGAAGAAATGCATAACATATTCATCTGAAAACTGAAACTGAAAACACCTGAATAGCTATTTCTTGTTTCACTGACAAGTGGACAATACTATGTATAAGGGTTAATAATTTAAAGATTCATTTATTATTTAAAAACATTGTTAACTGTCATACATATTAACATGCTGTTAAGAAAATCTTTGACTGATTTAAATTTTTGGGTAAAAATTCGATTTATCATCTATATTGGGGACTTAAAACAATGAAAATTAATAATATTTTCTTCCCTATCAATTTTATATTAAAATAACCCTAGGTGAAGAAAAACTTCAGGAAAAAAGCATGCTGTAAGGTTGGGTTAGGTGAATAAAAAACTGTACAGGTAGCATCAAGGTAGATTCAACTCTAACAATACCAACTGGTCAATTTAAATGTCCCAATTGTATTGTCAATTTTACAATCTGGTTGAACAATAGTTAAAGGTAAACAGCAACACCTATAGACAAGTCACAGTAGAAAAAAGGATTTACATGAATATTTTCATACATTTATTATATTACAATTAAGGAATAACTGTACTGTATTTAAATAGTTGCTGTCGTCAAATGGCGATTTAATGATCGCAAATACAGTTTTACTGGCGACGCGTAGCAGAGCCAGTAAAACGGATATTTCCGACCATCAAATCCCAATTGACGACATTAACTCTTCAACTACAGTACTGTTATTTCAATGGTAATGCATTACAAAAAAAATAATACGTTAGAACTTGAAGAATATCTCTAAATTTGAAATAAAATAAAATTCCGTGAAAATTCATGAATGATTTTGGCGCATAAATCTCATGGTTAAACGTGACGTCATACAAATGACAACGTTCAAACTGAAGGTTTTTACGTTACTTTTACGATTCAATTCGGATTAAAATACATCAAAACGGCGGTTTTGGTGTAGGTGTTGTTTACTTTTCGATTATATTGTAATCAAACATTTGTTGATCCAAGCAATTCAATATGACTTATCACTCCTTAGTAACGACATGTCAACGTGGATTTGATGGTAAATTTTAGCCAATGAAAAAAATGTTACATAAAAATTGCATTAAATTGTTGAATTTCTCGAGATAAAATTCGAAATCCAGTTTAAATTGTTAAATAAAGCTGCTTAATTAGTTTTGAAAGGGGCCCTAAGAAGCTTTATCGATCATCTCGATCTAGATATATTCATTATGTCAACAATAGCCAATCTCAGCCAGCCAATCTCAGCCAATCATTTTTTAAGTAGTTTGTAGAAGTTAACCCTTTGCTTAACTGAAAGTTGTAGTTGTGTTTTAAAATTATATGAAATGTATTTACAGGATTTGCTCAGAACGATTTTATCAAAATTTCTTATTTAGTACTGGTTGAGTACAAGTTACCGTCACATGCAATTTTATCCAAAAAAGTGCATCGCACAGTCGCATATTTTAGACATAAATTGGTCATCCAAATAAAAACCCTTTAAATCTATTGCATTACTTGGCGTCCATCGTCTATAAACTTTTCAAATGTTTTACTTTTCCTCTGAAACCACATGATCAACTTTTATCAAATTTGACAAGAATGATTTATAGAAGGTCATCTATAATTTTGTTCACGCTGTTCTGATTTGACGGAAACCTTTGATGCATGGTGACAAATTTTAAAACAACAAAACAAAATGTTTTGAAATTTTACTAGAATAACGATTAGAGGACCCTTTAGATCTATAAAAAGAACTCATCAAAATTACCATGCTTATAACTTTGTACGCGAGATGTCGACTAAAAACTGATCAGTGACGCTCGAATAAAAAAAATAAAAAGGCCAAAAAAAAGTACGAATTTTAAGAGCATTGCGGATTTTAAAAACGATCTGCATTTAATGTTGAGTTGTTGGCAATCATTGTTGCATTTATGGTACATAGTTACCTTAGGATCTGAAACCACTAGCCTTTGTAACATTAACTTAACAGTAATAGAGTTTGAAATGTCTTCTACAGTCGATGCTTAAGTTGTTCCGATTTTTACGAAAAACATTGCCGCAACAGGAAATTATATTTAGTCTGATAGGACAATTTAAAAAAAACTGTTCTTGTCTAAAGGCAAAATATTTTGCTATTTATTGCGAACCAAATGAAACTTTTACACAGATTCACTTGATAGTTACCTGTCGATTTAAACTTTTGGCAGTTCTTTTGTCCCATTGAATAAATACAATAGCTATTGTTCTCTGTGTAGTTTATTCACTGGGACCTTTAAATTTCTTCTCAGAGAAATCTATCACTCTTTGATTAATTTACCTGAGTAATAAAATTATCTTCTAAATAGATAAAAATACATGTTTCAAATAAAAAAACTGCATGTGGTTTTGTATATATTCAATATCAATAATATTTTTTTCAATCTGTTCAAAATAAACACTGATTTAATCAGAAAAAGTTGATTTTTGACAAAATTTAAGCATTGTTCCTATTGAAATTTGCATTTTGTTTTGTTTTAATTTAGTTGTTTTGTCAGAAATAAACTTTATTAATGTTTGAATCACTGTTTACATTCAACAGATGGTAAATATATTATTGATATTGAATAAATACAAAATCCCATGCAGTTTTTTAATGTTAAACATGTATTTTTATCTTTTAGAAGATACTTTGTTATCTCAGGCAAATTAATCAATGAGTGATACATTTCTCTTAGAAGAAATTTAAAGGTCCCATTGAATAAACTCCACAGAGAACAAAAGCTATTGTATTTATTTGATGGGACAAAAGAACTTACAAAAGTTTAAATTGACAGGTAACTATCAAGTAATTCTGTGGAAAAGTATCATTTCTTTCGCAATAATAGTATTGATAAACAGGAGACCCTCTCCTCATTTAATGATGATCGGGTGTAAAACATGACAGCGTTTGTGAAACATGGTTCCCATTGAAACTCTGTGAATTTTCTGTGAAATCGTTTGGTTCCGATTGGAAAAAAGCAACGGTGTTCTGCCATTAGAGAGGTATAATATCATTTACGAATAAGCCACTTCTTACTGTTGTTACATTTCACTTGTTCAAAGTAAACAGGTACCTTTGATCCTTTTAGTTCATGTTTTCTCTTTTATAATTTACGTTGACTATGTTTTAAAAAGGTTACTAACCATTACCCAGGTAATCAAATGATAGCAGTTTGTCCAATATATGACTTTTCAGAATTTTTGAATTTTTTTCTTTTATGAAAGTTATCCATATTAAATTTTAACAATAGCGCATGGAAAGCATGAGATGTAATACAGTTAAGACTTACAAACCGTTATGCTGAAGGTTTGATGTAAAGTTAAGACAGCTTTTTGATGAATCGAGTCATCAAACTATTACCTATAAATATTAATATGCTGAGTTGAGTCTGCGTCATATTGACTTGTTGTTATAGCACAATGATAAGTGTTGGTATGATAGTCTTATTACACGTTACGTTCGGTTGGAACGACATGATATCAATTTGACATTACATGATATTGACTTTCAAACCGGGTTTGTACTAAAATGAGTAACACGACTGATGCCACATGTGTAGCAGGATCTGCTTATCGTTCTGGAGCACCTGAGATCCCCCCGATTTTTGATGGGGTTTGTGTTGCTTAATCTTTAGTTTTCGATATTGTGTTTTGTGTACGTACTGTTGTATGTCTTTTTGTCTTTTTTTCCATGGCATTATCAGTTTGTTTTCGAATTATGAGTTTGAATGTCCCTCTGATATCTGTTGCCTCTCCTTTGCAATTGAATGTAATGCTTAGTCATCAAATTCGATTGCTATGACGACAAATAAAATATAGTGTTTAAACTTTATGCTGTTGACTTGGCACAAATAAATGTGCAGCAAGGTACATTTATCACTGTATTATATCATAATTACGTCACGATATGCTGATTATTCAGTCAACTTGAAAGTGCAGACATATGTTAAGCTAAGCTAACAAGGTGTTATATCATTATAATGTCGCATTAGGCTTATCATACAGTAAGCATGATTATACATGTTGACATACGGCAGCAAAATGCTTAGTAAGACACAACTGATAATAAGTATGATGGTGGCTTGGAAGAGTACATGGCTAAATCAAAGAATTGTCATGATCATTGAAAATGAATTAAAATGCAAAGTTGAAATTTCAGAAAAATTACTTTAAATAGTTTGATTTTTACGCCTAACAGTACGATTTTAAGTTAAGAAAATTTTTAAGTTTTGTCCTAGAACTTTCAAGCCTCTTGTTTTGTCTATTCAAAGTTTATACAGATACCTTTAAGTTTTCATTAATTGATGCAATTATTTCACGATTTGTAAAAAACAAAAGCTATCTTCGTATTATTTTTCTTTTTACGAAATACTTCTGTGGAACTTTTATCATTTCAATATAAATCACAGTAGATATGGTGTTCTGCTGGATATGTGTTTTTTTTTCTATCAATGTGATTGGGTTTTGTCGAGTGTGATCACGGATTTCGCGTGAATATTATGTAAAATGTAAACAAATAGAGTAAGGTAAACAATCATAAACCCCTTTACATATACATTTTGTCAGGTGCAAATTCAAAAGAAATGCATAAATGGAATATTAATTTCCTTTCATTCACAGACACTTTACAAAAAAACTTGTTCTTGTCTTTGCAGGAAAAAAGGACATTTTGAAAATAAAATTAATTTTGAAATTCCGGTGTTACGGGCGTCAAGGTTTAATCGAGTAAATAAATACAATTTTGATGGATTTTTAAATGTGATCTGTTAATATATTAAAATAAAACGAAAAGGATTACATAAAGTTAGTCCTTTGAAAGTACACACAAGACAATTGGTGTAAACGAGTCTGATAATGCTGAATTTACACAATTCATAAAAAGATTCAGATGTGTATTGTCATGTCTATTCAGCGTGATACATGCGTGTTCTCTTTGAAACATTTTACGTACTTGCTGTTTCATTTACCATTTTGCTGGGTGGTAACAAGGATTTTCAGCGTTTAAGGAATGATCCATACTAAATGTTTAGTATCCTTTTCACCGTTCAAACAGATGTTGTTGTTTTTTTGCGATATAACATTTTATATCTACGGATCTTGGCACAAGACATTAACATATCTAAACGATCATGGTGTATGCATATTTCATTTCTTATTGTTGCTATCTTTGTTATTTTATAAGAGATTACAGCTTAGAAATTATTTATTTTATTGTTTATCATATAATCATCTGAATTTAAGCTTTAAGTTTGAGACAAGTAATACTAACATTATTTCTCAGAGAGAATCATTTAACAACATCAATAGTGTTTTACCAAAATTGTTTCATGGATACATTTTAACATCATATCACTGTATATTTCATGTTTGGATTTTTCTTTGTTTAGGTAAAATTGTAAAGATATTTGCAGGTTTGACTGAGAGAGGTGCTGACCAATAGTGTTTCATTAGTAGTTTCCATGTTCAAAGCTATCAGACCAACTTTTTTGTAATGTCTGAGGTTCTTACCTATTCCTTAAATGGATCGGTGGTTTCTTTTGAACAAATTCTTTAACGTAGGTTTTTCGCCTTTCCTCATCAAAAACGAACAAATCAGTTTTAAAGGCGCCAAATGCATTATATTTGTTTATCTTTTATTTGTAATGCCTGGACAAGTTTTGAAAAATACCAGGACGTTTCAACTGTAAACGTACTCGCAAACAACTTTGTGTCAACCATCAGTTTTCAATAATATAAATGCAAATAAGTCCTTGTCTTGCTTTTTAATTTGTGTCGCAAATATTGTTGATAAGCAGCGGGTTAATGACGTTTAAAATTCGCAATAAATCAAAATAAGCTTCAAGAGACGCTATGCTCCATAGGACACAATGATGAACCTAATTAAAAGAAGTCATTGATTTGCATGATTGTCAGAATTTGAATTTATTCAGACGCTCTATTTGACGTTTTTTTATATAGCGCCTACTCACAATATTCGAGTAATTTTGTCTGTCATTGTTATCTTGCACTGTTGAACTTTAGTGGTATCAGATGACGAAATAGTAGAAAATGAGTGAAAACGATTTGTACATGGTATTTTTTAGGTAACTTACATTGTACGTGCCCTTGAGGAATCAGAAATGCTAACGAAATTCTAAATTGAAGGGGTAAGTAAGTATGTATCTCAAAGATCAGAAGAATGTCATATAGTTTTGAATTAGCAGAAAACTGCATTGCATACGAAGTCTTGATTCATTAATTGGATTTAAACGCTTACAAATGAAATAATACTGGATTTTAGTAACCCAAGACTGGCCGGTAGATTGTTTGTATATAATAAGGAAGAATTTAACTTTGTCGTATTGTACTTTGTAGACAGAATTCAATATTTTAGGAACATACAGGATGGCTAATAAAAGTCTAGAGAGAGACCCGATAAGGCGTTGTCCAATGAAGCGACCTCCAATACTTAAGCAGCTTCAAAATATAATGAGGGAATATCCAGAAGATGTTCAAATTCTCCATGTATGTTGTTTAGTATTCATAATTTTTTACCTCTTTATTCCCCAAATTATAGTGGGACAAACTTTACAAAAGAAAAACGACTTTTGGAATGAATATTCCAGAAAATTATTTAAATATTATTTAGAATCAAACGATGCACATGGTCTTTGATGATGATCAAAACTCATACCATCCGGACAACGTACAGTGATAAAGGAAGTAGACACAATTGTAAACTTATCCAAAGTTATAACCCATAACAATAAAAACGAAAATATATCTTATATATTGCAAAGACAACCACCCACTATTTTGACTTCAGTGATGTTTTATCTTTTACGAAGTATCTTTTTTTCCTTATTCTTCGATCGAACAATAAATAAAGACAAAAGATAAAACCTTCAAGGAAATGATCTCTAATTCATAAAGATAAATACTTGTACACGAGATTATTACATACAAATAGGAAATAAGTACATTGGCTAAAGCTTTGCCTTTCTCAGGCATACATGACCATTATCATATTTGGCAAAACTTTTTGGAATTTTAGATTTTTGAAAGAGTTTCAATTTCGTTTTATTTGGTCATCCAAGTGGTTTGATTCAAGCTCAACTGATTTGTCTTATGTAGACGAAACGCGCGTATGTCGTACTAAATTATAATAATTTTGTAAATTTACTGTTTATTAAATGATGAATTGTTCTAAACAGTGAGTTTTCTTAACTCTCAGGCATATATGGTTTTACCCAAATCTAGCGAAAATATTTAAAAAATTACGGTTTTTAACTCATTAACTTCGATTTGGTTTGATTTTCAAATCGTTTTAAATCGAGCGCCAATGATGAGTCTGATCAAGACGAAACGCGCGTAAAGCGTTTCAAATAATAAGCCGGGTATCTTTAATGAGTTCGTAAAGCCTGAGATCAATGCTGAGCAAATTTTTCGATAACAAATTACGGTCGATTTGATACCAATCAGTATATCACCTCAACGGATATACGTAATGGCTTTCATGTCTTTGAATTGTTGTCCATTCTTTCTACTTTCAGGAGCTAGTACAGAATGCAGAAGATGCTAACGCGACAGTCATGAAGATCATGTATGACCAACGTCAGATAAATCCACCGGGTAAACTAGGAAAATTCTTAAAGGTAAAAAAGAATTTTGAAATAAGAAGTGCCTATTCTATCATGCTGACATTGTGAATTTTGATGCCACAGAGATAAGCTTTCATTAAGACTCAAGGACAAAGATATAAACAATTACCGATCATCGTACGGTCTTCGAAAATGAGCAAAAATAAAAATAATAAAATCAATGTACTTATTATGCTAAACATAAAATAAAATAAAAGCTCTGATTTCTGGTCTAAGGTTAACGTCCTACATACAGAGTTGATATTTTGAACCAACAAATCACTGAAAAGTAGCATTTTTCTTATATTTAGCTCTTTCGCATACATCTTATTGTACACATGCTGGTTATTCACAATATAGCTTACCACTTTCATTTCAGTCTCCGGCCCTATGTATATTTAATGATGGTGTGTTTGATGAGGATGATTGGGATGGAATCAAAAGTGTTTGCCTTAGTCATAAAGAGGAAAAAACTGACAAAATCGGACGATTTGGGCAGGGATTTAAATCTGTTTTTCACCTTACAGGTAGTGTGTAGTTATTTTTTCAATTACGTATATACTGGAGTTTCTGATATCCCGTTCATTTATAGGAATGCTTGCACTCCGAAAGCTTAAATTTATATTCAGTCTGTTTATTTTTTTAAACATGAACATATTTTTGTGTAAGTGTGAAAGTCCAGATTTTTCATATTTGATTTCTGCTCCAACACAGAAGCTTCGATATTTTTTTACCGTACATTAACATCTGCATATCTTATGGTTTTTGTGTCATTGAATTGGTGTACCATTGCCGCTACCTTCACATCTTTTTTTCGTATTTATTGTAACGGGAGACCATACTGTATTCCTATATGGAGTATACGTTAATAGGACTGCAACCAAACCACAAAATAACAAAAAGGCATCTAGAGAACAATTGTCATTCTATTAGAATGCTTTCGCCAATACAAGATTCTACAGTAAGGTCGAGGAAAATAAAACTTTGTAAAGAAACAAACTGATTTCAATACACGATCTTCCAATTATTGCAGTCCCTGGAAAAGTTTGACGCCAAAAAAACAAATATCTTCATGTTACAATGTCATATGACTCGTTTCTCAACTCCAATTTTCCACTAATTTTCTAAACTTTTGACGATTTAAAACTTAACGTATATATCCAGTCTTATTTAGCAGACAGAAAAAGTGAAAACATTTCGTTGATGTCTCTCGAAAATATTTCATCGATTATTCTAGAATATTTTAACAAATTACGGCTAATTTGAATATTTTGAGCGGAAAAGATGTGGTCCTAGTGTTTCCCAATTTACACAAACAATGTAAGAAATACACAAGCCTTATGAAAGTGAAAACAAAATATATTAACTCAATGTATTATTTCACTTACATAGATAACCCTGTAGTTGTCAGTGGAGACACTATGTTGATCATCGATCCATTAAATGTCGATAGAGAATGTGGTATGGTATTCTTATCCAAGATCGAAAACATCAGCAAGACTGGGATATTTAAATCGTTTGATTTTAATCATAATGCTATCCGAAATAATTATTACCCGGCAACTCTATTCTGGTTTCCGTTAAGATCACAAGAAAGTGAATTATCGAAAAATGTTTGTACGGACTCCAAAATGACACACATTTTATCATTGTTTGAAGAAGATGCGGCTATTGTGTTACTTTTTCTGAAGTACCTAACAAAAATTGAGATACACAATCCTACACAGTCACCGAATCCTTTCAAGTATATAAAAATATGTTATGCAAAAAATAAAAGATCTGATTTACAATCGTTTTGGAGTAGTATGGACGGGAATACAGAAACTGAAGACAGAGCAACTAAAACATTTTCCATCGTTATTGACGCCGACATACATATATCAACAAGATCAGGGACGAAAAAAGAACATTGGACTATATGCCACTATCATGCAAGTCATTCTGATATGTCCGTTGAATTAGGACGATTAGCAAGTGACAAAGAAGTTGCATGTCTCCCATATGTTGGCGTGGCATATAAGAAGTCATTAGCAGCCTATCATACTGGGAGAGTTTTTAACTTTCTGCCATTGCCAGCTACATGCAAAACTAATCTACCTGTTCATGTAAACGGAAACTTTGCTTTAAGTCAGAATCGCAGACATTTGAAACTATCCGACGAACGATCAGCCGATAAATTCATTAAATGGAACGAGGGTTTAATTAAAGAAGTTTTGTCCGAATCGTACATGACTTTGGTACATCATCTCATTGAAAATAGTCAGAAAAATAAAAATACAAAAGAACTTATTAATGACGTTTATAAATGCTTACCCAATTTGAACGTTACAGAAGAAATATGGCAGACACTAGTAGACAGGATCTACTTGAAAATAATTGAGAAGGCAGTTTTCTTTTCTGATCTTGGCCATAATGGCACGTGGGTGACGAAAAACAAAGCCATCATATGTAATGTAGACGGATTGGTGAACTGTTCCCCTGACCAACATCAAAGTATTAAAACCACAGTTAAATATGTTTTACTTAATCTGCAAATAGCTGTAGTGGATGTTCGACAAAACATGATGGCGTTGGTTAAAACAGGAAATTTAAGACACATTATGCCTCATGAGTTAGTTACAATGATAAGAAATAGTCCACAGTCATATTTGAATCTGCAATGGGCAAGAAGGGTTGCGCTTCTCAATTATTTAATTGATGACTCAAGTAAAGAGTTCCAAGGATTGCAGCTGTTACCATTACATTGTTGTAAGTTTACAACGTTCAACGAAGAAGAAGAAAAAGTATTTGTTCACAGATCTGAAGAAGTTAACTTATTTATTGGTGTTGAAAATAGATTTATCTCACAAGACCTGCCTGACGGATTATTTAAAGATCTGAGGTCAATGGCATTAAAAAGTAAGTATATTATGACATATTTATTTTTACGATAATATAATCTTGAAAAAACATCTGTTTGAACTGAATATTGTAAATTACTGTCATGTGATTTAACATCTGACAGGCCGTTAGTTTTCTCTTTTGAATTGTTTAAAATTTGTCATTTGACTATGCGATAATGGGTTTTTTTCTCATTGTTGAAAGCCGTACGTTGACCTATAGTTGTTAACGTCTATGTCATCTGGTCTAAGGTGGAGAGTTGTCTCATTGGCAATCATACCACATCTTCTTATTTTCATATGAAACAGAAAATACTTAAACGTAAAATTGTTGAAGTAGTTTAGGGGCACAAAGTGTTAACAAGACAGCAATTAACAGTTTAATATGATTTTGAGAAGTACAACCAAATTACGTTTGAGTTTAAGACGACTAGATTGCATATCAGTAAGTTAAATATTTTGAGATAAATATTAGTAAATGCTAGAATTAATTATGGGTTTGTATATAATTGTTTTGTTGCACTTTTAAATTTGTTTTTAATCACACAGTTTTTATAGAGTTAACTGAGACCTGTTCTTGTACTGATCTTTATTATATATCTTTTATATACTTTTGGTAAGTACACATATCTTGACTATAGGAGAAAGGGTTGAATTATATAACAAAAAACTAGTTTAACCCCGCTACTTATTCATGTGTACCTGTCATAAGTCTTGAAATAATTCCCTTTTATCAGATAAACAAGTGTGGACACATATCAGTGTGGTTATTAATTGGTTCATTAGGGTCATTATGTTTAACAGTGTTTTCTCCAGTGAGTGTATGCATGGTGGTGCCCAACCAGATGTTTTCGAAGCCTTTACTATGTCTTTCTAATATGAGTCCACACTTGTTTATCTCAATGTCCTTGTTATCTACAAAGTTTCATGAAATTCTGTTGTGTGGTTTCAAGAGTACAAGAGTTTGTCATCGCAACTCCTCTGAAACCACACAAAAGAATTTCATGAAACTTTGTAGATAGTTATGACATACTATGTCGATGTGCATATCGACAGGAAATTATGATTTAATTTTTTTTCTAGCAGTTATGCCCCTTTAACTTATAATTTTGTCCTATATATATACTACTGCAACAGTTTGTCATCGCAACTCCTCTGAAACCACACAACAGAATTTCATGAAACTTTGTAGATAGCTAGGACATTTGGCTCCAAAACAGAAATTTGTATACTGTAAACTGTTGCAGTAGTATCCTCCCAATAGCATTAGTGCAATATTTCGTCTAAAAGAAGCTATGTATATACATATTTCTCATAGTTCTATGTTAAACTTTGTTCAATGGTGGTGGCTATCTTGAATTTGGATTGGGAATTAGACTATGGGTCCATTAAAGTATCATTGCTACAATATTTTAAATTGATATCCCAATTCAAATCCACATCAACAAATCTAACTTTGTTAAGTACCTTCATATATGAAGATTCCTTCCAAGTTTGGTTTTGAATGGCAAGACAGATTTTACAAAATGAAAAGTTTACAGACGATAAGAACACCTCGCGTAACCCTATTGGCTAAGTGTGCTAATAGGTGTAGAGAAGTCAATAACGATAGAATGTGTAGACTTAAAAGAAATATGAAACTATGATATTTTACTGTATTTGAAAAGGTAAAAGTATTGCAAGTTTTTGTTATGTTGAGAAAGATTTGAATAATGATTTTTTTAAACAATGGTATAAGTTGATGAAAATAGGAGTATACAATTTTTAGCTTTGAAATAAAAATGGAGCAGTGCTGTAAATACCATTAACATAATTTTGTTTACAAATGATGATGTGAGGTGAACAATGTAAGATAACTCTAGAAGTCAGCAAGGCATTGTGAGTGTCGTCCCTTAACATAAATACATGTGTAAATGAATGACCATTCTATTCGATAGGCAGTACTGATGGTTAAACATGTCTTTCAAAAATACTAATATTGCAGTAAGCGCTTTTTTATGTGTGTAATTATGCTTTTCTTTTATTTGACTGCCTGGCAGATTCAAATGGGAATAAAACATTTTGATCTCCCTTAACACTTAATGTTATGTTTTAATAATATCTTGTGCTGGCAGTTGTTAATTAGATCATGATTGTTTTTCCAACCATCTTACCTGACACTTCATATGAATATATTGGTTGTCTATTTTCAAATCTTAATTTCATACAGTATGCATATGCATCACAATGAACTGGGCTAAATGCAAACAAACTTTAGTACTACACTAAGACAGAGTGCTCAATCCAGTGATATACTTTGTAATACTAGACAAAAGTTGATTTCTTGAACACCATTTGTTACAAAACTACATTGAAAAAAGACATGCCTATTAATTCTATTAGATGTAAAATATAAAGGAAATTATTCATTACAAAGCTAATAGTCACTAGAAAAACCAACGATAGGAAATGAATATATATCGAATGCTTTCCATGCCCACTTTTTGATACTTGAACTGACTTCCACCTCTCCATGATCAATGATGGTAAACAGGTGAACAAATCTCGTCAGTGGTTGTCTTTTCTGACTTGTTTGTTTTTCTTCTTTTGAGATTTTGGTGTTGATATCAGTTCTTTTATTGTTTTTTGTGTAATTTAATCTCAAGACAAACTTTAATAACATAATGTATAGACACCAATTGTTGAAACTGACTTTATGTTGCCCTCCTAAAGTCCTTTTGCTGTTTTTGCTTTGTTTTCTGTCATTGACTGATGACGTTTACCCCACAGTTCCTTTTATTTATAAACTTTACTGTAAAATTGTTTCAACGTCTTTACATTTTATTTTCCTGGATTGGGTTTGTACTTGCTCTGATTCATAAATGGATCAATAAATACATGAACTATCATCAGCTTGACTTTATGCATAGTGAAATCTCAAAATAAAACAACTGATCAATTTCAATCTGTTTTCTTAATACAATGTATGTATATCAGAAAATCTTTGTCAAGCTATTTAGATTTATTAGTAGTTTAGCCCAAGATTGATTGGATCGGTCTGCCGTGTACTGACAATCATGTGATAATAATAATTTATTTCTCCATATTCTTGAAAACCAATCGGGTGATTTAAATTTCAGACCCATCTAACACCTTGCAACCAGTTATCTTTTTGTCTTAACTCTTATTAGTTCATTATTTAATAAATCTGTTTACAAAGTTGTTCAATATATTAAATTTTAAGAAAATTATATAAAAAATAAAAAAAAAAAAAAAAGGCGTGTATTGAAAAAATTGAATTGTGAAATTTTGTCCGTGACTGATTGTCCTGTGACTTCTGTCCTACATTCTTGGACCTTTTTTTATTCAATAAATATTTATCTGTTAACATACTTTCAATACCTTCTTATGCAAGCTCATGTTGTTTGTCTTTATTTCGTAATGTTCATGTATACCAGACAATCGGAATATCTTTTCTTTTCTTAAATGGAAAATTTTCAATGAAAATTTGGCTGACATTTCTTGCAAGACCATATTAAGCTTTAAAAACCCGGCTTAAGTGACTGCGACATGTCATACTTTGTTGGCTCCATTATTTTCCATTTGGTAAATTTAGTCTGTTTTCTTGATAAATGCAGTGAAAATAGTGATGTTGGCTATTATGTAGGGTACTACTGATGTCATCTTTATTATTTTTTGTCATTCCATACTTCTTTAAATAACCTAAGTTTTAAGAAAAACATCTTGCCACATTGTTTCCCTGCAATGTAACTGAAAGTTCTCTGTTTAAAATAAGGAGATGAGGAATGATTGCCAATGAGACAACTATCCGCTAAAGTTCAAATGAAGTGGATGTTAGCAACTATATGCAACCGTACGGACTTCATCAATGAGAAAAAACCCATACCGTATAGTAGGCTATTAAAGGTCCCTACATAAAGAAATGAAACAATTCAATTGAGAAAACTAATAGCCAAATTTATAACAAAACAATTTACGAAAAACAAATATGACCAACATGAACCAACGAGAACCACTGAACTAGACTCCTGATTTGGGACAGGCACATAAAGAATGTGGCGGAGTTAAACATGTTTGTGTGCGCTCAACCCTCCCCAACCTGGGACAGTGGTGAAACAGCAGAACATAAGAACAAACTATAAAAATCAGTTGAAAAAGGCTTTATTCATCAGTTCGATACAAAGCAGAACAATCAAGCAAAAACACAGACCGGACCTGGCAGGGAATTTATCCATCCCTCATACCTCATCCCAAACAACAAAAAGGACACTAAGTACAGATCTGAGAGTACTCGCAGTTATTGACAGCTATTTCATAGCCAATAACAACTTATGAAAAAAATCATGTATCTAAGACTAGAATATCAATCAGTACACATCCAACATTCAATGGATTTAGTGTAAAGACGTCATTAACAGTCAGTGCAATGCAAAAAAAAATATCGATAGATTGTAGTACCGTTAAAGTGCATATGTGTATAACAAAACTATTTAGTATGACTTTGATTTACTGATAACAAAATAAATATTTATACCAATAAAAACAACATTCAAAGATCCAGTTACAGTGTTGAATTGGTAACCTTTAAGAAATGAATATAACCTTACTGTAAAATTAAACGTTTGAAAGTTTGCAAAAATGTATAACAAAAATACCGAACTCCAAGGTAATTTCAAAAAGGCCATAAAAACTGACAAAATCAAACGCTTTCAATCAACGGAACAAGTGAAAAATAACTGCCATATTTCTGACTTGGTACAAACGGGGTTTTCAAACATTTCAACGCAATCGATCACCGTTATAGAAACCAATGGTCGCTCTTCATAATACAGTCCATGTTATATTAAATAAAATATTCCAGCTTTAATATTGATTTATAAGCCTAATTCTAAAGTATTTAAAACTGAAAATAGCAGTTTTGATTGTTTAATCTATTTGAATCCTTTTTTATGTATCTTGAAACCATGTTATTAAAAGGTGTAATTTACAAACTAAAACACGTAAACAGTACATAGATTTAAAGCGGCACAAGCTTCCAAATTCATGTAAGCTGAATTAGCACAAACTTTCAAATTTGATTATTAAAAGTATCAGAATTACAAAAGTTCCACAAGAAAAAATAAGCAATGCATGGGATCGTTGGAAAGTATCAATATTAAGTTCGTATTACGGACCTAACGTCTTCGAATTATGGATGTACTCAGGTCAGGTTTATGAATTTTTGTCAAAATGGACTCCTTGGTTTTTTTTCTACCATACAGGGTAAAATATTTTGCCCAATTTCACCCAATTTTTTTATTTCATAGAAGACTTTAACAGCTCATAAAAAGGTAATTACCAAAATTTATACAGATTCTAGATTTTTTTTTGACGATTTGAGACCCAAAAAAATGCCAATGCTAAGTTAAAGGTTAAAGAACGAGTCAGCCTTTTCCAACCATTTTAAAAAAATCAAATATCCCAAAAAGGAGTTCCATAACCTATTAATATTTTTAGGTTATTTTATTCCCTAACTAATGCTCTTCTGACTTATAGTATCAATTTTAAATTCAAGCTTTTATTAATTTTACCTAACTACATCCTTAACCATCGACACGACCTCTTAAAAATTGCCGATGGATATGTGACCCCGATATAGATATAAGTAGACAGATAAGCACGTGCAATAGTATAATGACGATGATCCTAGTTCTGTTTGGTTTTTGTCACGGAATTAAAACCCGACTGTAAATCATCGTTTTACCTGTATAAACATGATATTTTGCGGGGAGAATAAGTCAACGAATTCGGTCTTCCTGTTGGTTTATCCAATTTAACTTCTCACTTGATAGTCTTTTCAATATAAGCTCGTTAAGCACAAAAGCAATCAATCTTCAACCGAGGTCACATCATAGGTCGCGTGCATACTGATCAAAATGAGGTCGAATAAATTCAATTAATATCTCGTATTACAATAATATTTATGCATCAGCGAAGTTTTTATTATAACTTATATGGACAGTATTAAACAAAAATGACTACTTATAGTGAATCTTAGTTCAATATTCCGTTCTTGTGAATTTTAAAAACAAAACACACAAAGTGCATTATTAATTTTCAACTCATATTGTCGAAATTGTAGCTGATGCCACTTTAAACCACAATAATATTGCTTATTGAAATTTTAGTTTGTTACATAGTTACATGATTTTTTTTTATCAATTATAGACAAGTATTTTTTTTTTTATCAATTACAGATATGTTTCAGTTGACAACGTTGAAACTTGAAGACATTTCCTCGTTGTTAACATATGTTTTTAATAACCATTGCTACATCTCCGAAAAGGGGAAGTACATTCCAAAATGCAAACCATCGCCTCTTAATAAAGTTTGGATCGCTGATGTGTGGAAAATGATAACTCGTTATAAAAATCTAACTCATAAAAATCGGACAAGCAAAATGGGATCTTTCGATAATATACCATTAATACCACAACTGACTGCAGACGAAACATGCATAGAAAATTTTAACATCCTCAAAGGAGATTATATTGTTAAAGAGTATAAAGGCAAAGGGTTTAGTATGTCTAAACCATTGCCAGTCGATATCATAGCCATGCTTGAAGCTGAAGGCATTGCAATTTTAAACCCAAACTCAATCCTCGATGATGCTGATATTATCGGAAGTTATATCAAATATCCAACAGAAGGGGGTATATTAGAATTTTGTGAACAACGTCCGGATCTAAAGAAGAAATATGTAACCTATATTGGAGTTACGGGAAATATGTATCTACCTATGGATACTACCGCCATTCCGTTTGGACAGCGAGAGGAACTAGTAACTCGACTAAAAAGTATATTACAAAATTATCCAAAAAATCATTCGGTCTTGAAAGAAATTCTTCAAAATGCTGATGATGCTGGTGCCTCCGAAGTTCATTTTTTGTACGATATGCGTCAACATCAAACTGAAACTATTTTCAGTGATAATTGGAAAGTCCTTCATGGACCTTCCTTATGTGTTTTTAATGATGCATGTTTTACCGAGAATGATAAGGAAGGAATACAAAAACTTGGTATTGGTAGTAAAAGCGGGGAGCCGATGAAGACAGGACAATTTGGAATTGGCTTCAACGCAGTATACCACATAACAGACGCACCAGCCTTTATGTCTAAAGGGGACCATGCTGCTTTAGGTGGAATGTATTGTGTACTTGATCCACATTGTCGATATGCACCGACAGCAAGATTTGATAATCCAGGTATGTTAATGAAACTACAAAAACTAATTGAAATATACCCTGATGTTTTTAATACTTTCCTAACTACTACAGAGCTTAAAAGGGAGCATGGTACTTGGTTTCGTTTGCCTTTGAGAAATGTGGAAATGACTAGAAGCTCTGACATCAGGAACACACCCTTCACACATTCTGACATGAAAAGGCTACTTTCAGATATGAACTGCGATATTGAAGAAAGTTTGCTCTTTCTACTTAACATTAAAAAAATAACGTTGTCGTATGTAAATCAGCAAGGAACACACGTCATTCTGAACAGAGTAGAGCTTTCACATTCCGTAGATATACAAAGGACTCATCTTAATTTTAAGAAACGTTTCAAAGAATATAATGATATGTTAAAGCAACCTTCCATTGACATAAAGTCGATTTGCATAGAGGAGTTTCGATATTTTCACGAAATAAAAAGTTTACTAGGTAAAGAATCAATATGGTTGGTTGTCCAAGCATTGGGTTTCAGCGAACCAGAAATGATAGACCATCGACTAAAAACAAGTCTTCAAGAGAAAGAAATTTCTATAATACCAAGAGGTGGGGTCGCCATTAGGATATTGCCGACAGCAGGCACAAAGAAATTCAAATCAAAAGCATTTTGTTTATTACCATTGAATATAGAAACGGGACTAACCGGTCACGTGAATGGACATTTTTGTGTTGATATGTCAAGAAATAAGCTGTGGGGCTCTGATGTAGAGTTTATTAGCGATGTTCGTGGTATTTGGAACTTAGAGCTTATTCGTTTCAACATAGCTTATGCTTACGCAAGTTGCTTTGAGTACATGAAAGAAATTTCCTCTCGCCAGTATAATATTGGACACTACTTAAAATTTATTCCCGTTTTCAATGAGGCAAAAAGTTATTTTTGGAGAGAACTTATCTACTATTTGTTTCTACAAAGCAAAACACGAAGATTGGAAATATTTCCGATATGCCCAAGTATTACATCCAGCTCATATGTTAAATCATATTTGTATGAATACTTGCAAACAACGAAGTGGGCATGTCGGCAGATTAAAAGAGAGATGCCCGTATTAATTGACGATCTATCCGACCAAATAAACTCCGAGGACGCTTGTAGTTTTCGAACAATTTGCGTCGAATTGGGGATGAAGTTGACTTGCTCACCAATGGTTGTGAAAGATACTTTGTTAAATGTATGTACTTTTCATCATGCAAAATATACCGAACAGTCTGACTCTGCTCATATTCCAACTACACAAATTTGCATATGCATTGAGAGTATATCTCCAAAGGCAACATTAGATTTTTTCAAATCATACAAACTAAATGTACGAGGTAGATTTGAAAAAGACAGCTTCAATAAATTAAAACTAGTTGACCAGATTAAACAAATATTGAAATATTGTCTAAAAGAAAAAAAATGGGACATATGTTGTGGTGCTCCTTTGTTGTTAAATCAAATGAGTGATATTTTAGATATCAAAGACAGAAATGATCTTATATTGACGGAGTTTTATTATTTACTTCCAAAGTCTGCAGAAAAATTCGTACACAAATCACTTTTAGAAATTTTCAATATATACAGAGACCATTTTATAGTTTTGAGTATAGACAAATTTGCTGAACTTCTACCGAAAACATTAGAAATAGGTACATATAAACTTGATAAACCTCGCCGCATGGTTGAAAGTGATTGTCGTCAGTGGTTCAATGGTTTTTGGACATATATCGATTCCGAACGTTTGCCTCTCACGGATCTGTCTCAGTGGTGTTTATTGCCAGTGAATTTAATGTCTATCGAATGGCTCTTTCCCGTTAAAATGTGTCGCTATACAATTGACATCAACACCTTCAACGTCAACCCGAAACTGCATTCAGTTTTATCGACAATGTCTCTACCTACATCCTGTATAAAGTCTAGAGTGTTGCTTGATCTGCAAGCAAAATATCATGATATAGATACAACACTGAAATGTCTACATTACTGGCGAAAAGAAATTAATCCTGGTTCAAAATTAACGAGCGAACAATGCATGGTTGTTCTTATGTACCTCATTAAAGACATCTGTTCCGACAACCGAGAACAAATTCAGAAATTAAAAGATTTGCCATTGTTTCCAACATTAGATAGGGGCACTCTATCTGTGTCAGGAAAGAGACTTTTAATATTTGATAATAAGATTAAAATACCGACAAATGGATTGTTAGATTTATTTGATAATTTAAACATACTAGTGCTGCAAGATTTTAAAGGTCTTCATGTTTCAATTTTATATGAACTACTCCAATGTGAGATGATAAATGCTGGGACTTTGTACGGTAATTTCATTCTGAAGCATTTCCATTACATATCAGACGAGAGGAATAGAATTATTCACTTGGAATTTATTAGAGACAACCTTCTTCATGACCTAAATTTAAGTCCTCTTTTACCCGCAGCAAGTTTGATTTACAATGGAAATAGTTTTCAGAAGGTCAGTGATTTTTTTGACAAAAACAATGAGTTATTTTCAACCATGTGTACAACACCTGAGTTTCTACCACATCCGTTTAACACCATATGCTGGAGAAATTTTATGATCACTGCTGGTTTGAAAATTCAGATGTCTGAAGATATCATACATCGATTTGCGAAAAGAATTGCAGATTCAGGGTTGCAAAAAGAGACATACTCTCGAAGTGAGATGATTTTGAATGAATTCCTAAATTATGTACAAACTAGTCCAATACATGTTCATTTTTTATCTGAATTATCCGTAATTAAATTTATAGCAGTAGAGAAAAACGAACACCGTTATGAAAAAATTCACCCGTCGTACAGAACCGGCCTTAGACTAATTTCCTATAAAACTGCAATTTCTAATCATTGTCGCAATCTGGCGTGGACTTCAGCCGACATTTTACCAAGTTATGCCATGCCATATAATAGCAAAATTGAAAAACAATTGAATATTAGGGATCCTGATTTTCTAACTGTAGTACAACACGCTAAAAATATATGTCTGAAGTTAGTGAAGACCTGTGAGGAACATGATCAGAGTTTTATTAAAGACGTTTTTAGCTCTGTATACGAATATTTCAGCAAACATCTCGATAAAATTAGTAATGTTATCTGCATTCCGATTGTGCATGTTAGGAAATATAAGAAATTTGTTAGAGCAAATCAATTAATCGTAAATTTTGTAGAAAATGATGAGATAGTTCCTTATTTGGTTAAATTGCCAATTGAATATGGAACTTACCATGAACTGTTTGCAAAACTTGGTATGAGAACTGATCCAAATATAAATTCGTACTGTAAAGTATTAGAGCAAATTTACCAACATACCAGAGAAAGGAATCTCAGCCCTAAAGAAATTCACTGTACGAAAAAAGCTATGCAGGGACTAATGAAATCGTTGCAAAATCTCGAAAGTCCTTTTACAGAACTTGAAGTGAACGTTTTGTACCTGTTATCAGAAACGAATGTTTTGATGCCATCAAATAACTTATATTACGACAGCTTAGAAATTCCTCGAGAAAGCTTGAAAGGAAACACCAACTTATCTTTGATAGCAAGACTTGACTGTTTTGGCTTTAACGTAGATGAGTTATATGATTTGTTCTCGATGTTGCCAGCAAAACACCACCCGATATCAATAAAGTCAATTCTTACAGAAAAATTGACATCGTTCCCTTTAAAAGAGAGTCAAACTGTCTTGGATCTTCAGGAATGTCTTACCAGTGATACTTTTATAACTGCTGTTTTAAGATTTGTTAAACATGACCAGCAGTTATTGAAAAACGACTTTAATACAAGTACAATGAAGACAGTCTTTGCTAAACTGAGGCGTGTACGTCTATTGGCAGTATCAGAGTTAAAAACATCTTTGGTAGATGAAGATGGGCGAGAGTGCTCGACTACAGAAAAAGTATGCTTCTACTTGGAACCAGATGATCTGATGTACATAGATGACATGACCTTGAGGACAAATGATTGGTTGCAAACTTATGACGTTCAACTTGAAGAAGTGATTCGGATCATTTGCAATTATAAGTTTTTACGTGGCACTTTACTAAAAATCCTAAATAAAGTGCATGCTCAATTAAATGTAATTCAGGAAAGGTTAACACAAATTGGTATTCCTTTTATTGAAGGTGCGGTTTTAAATGAAGCTTGGTTTCCTTGTCCTGGCTCGTTTGTTCCAGAGGACTTGCACTCATTTATTCGTATGGCATTGCGACCCATTACAGTCAAAGAATATGCAGTTATGAAATACCCTCGGAACAACTGCAATATAGACGGAAATGTCCAATACATATATGTTATTATCACGAGTATTTCACATATATTTGGAAGTTTGTGTTACAAAATAAATGCCGGTGATAAGTTCAACGGATCAGATCCTATTCCTGAAGACGAAATTCTGGAAATTTATACAGAATGTTCTGAAAATGAAACCAAGGGTGAAAGCAGCCAATCGTCTGCATATAAGTCATCAGGATTTGCATATAGTTCGAGTTATCACAGTACTTCAAATTCTGCAAGAAATTTTCATTGCAGTGGGAAACCTAATCCACAAATACATTTAGGACGAAAATGGTTAGAACAAGCAAATTATGATTTCAAGGCTGGCACAATTACCTTTGCTGGGATTGAGAGCATCCCCTTCAAGGGTTATAACTGGATTTGTATTCAATGTCAGCAGGTAATCATTTTTTCAGAAACGCCTTTCTTCTTTGCTGTTTTTTTTTATAGTATGCGGTTTCAAAATAGTATAACCATAGCCAAAGAAAAATTCAATCTTCAACTAAATTTACACACATACATATATATATATATATATGTATATAACATTAACGGTACAAATGCGGCTTCCGCGATCTATGAAACTGTATACATGTGTGTAAATAAAACTTGAATATTTTATGTCTATAAACAAACAGTGATAAATAAGACTAGAGTATTTTATGTGTATATGTTCCGAACAATATGAGTATTTGGACAATGGGCGTATAATAATGACCATGTGCGTATAGTCATGTGGTCGGACCATCCATATGAGTATATACTCATTTAATTATTAACTGAGCGGACCGGAGTATTTTAACCATATAGGTATTTTTTTCCGAATATGCAAACTTTATCCAATATTGCATGCTCATTTATATTCCTACTTGTGTGCTTTTAATTATGCGACGGCACAAAGAACAAAACCCGAAACAAACACGTTTTGAAATATTGTCCTGAAATTTCATTATTTCATATGAAAAAAAAAATAGCAAAGATACACATTTATTTTCTTTAACCAGGTACACACATCTCGTTCTCCAAAGCCAAAACGATACACCTAACTAACCGAAATTTTTCATCTGAGACATATTTTCTGCATCTGGGTTAGAGCCTTCGCTAGTTATGAAATTGTCAATTAAAAGCGTGCATTAGTAAAACAGTTAACATTTTGTTTAATATTTGATTTAGATATTTCTTGAAGTTGTCTTCCAAATTCATTCGTCAGGACAAATGGACCACAAATAAATAAATTTAGTATACTTTTAACTTGTGAATTGAATTTACTGGGTCATTCATTGTCAATTTATTTATTTCATCATGAAAATGATTATTACCGTATCATGGCATAATAATGATTTTAAGGATCAAAATTTAAATAATATGTGTACATTTTTATAAATTCTTCCAAAATTTCAAATTTATAAATTAGTATACCTCTTTTATGTCAAATCAATGTGTCATACTCAATAAAATTTATGTTACAGTATTAAACGTTAAACCAACTTAAAGGATTTACATAGTAAGTACTAAGTCTTACTATATACATGCTTATTTAACCTTCATCGTCTTAATTACCTGGACCATACGCGTATGGTCTTACACATATAAGTATAAAAACTATACTCGTATGGTCATGATTATACGCGTATGGTTCACATACTTTTATGGTCCGGAACATATACGTAGAGTAAGGATGGAGTCCAAAGGAAAGAATCTCAAAATCAATTCGATTTCTTTTTCTGAAAAAAAAAAACGCGTCTTGTGCACTGAAACCGTTTTATATCTAGGATAAGGGGTAGATATCGCTTCTGGCATATCCATGGGTAGCTATCCACCAAATGCTAATGATTTAAATGTTTTTTACTTGTATAAAAACTTATCTTTATTACTGTAATTAAAGTACTAGCAACATAATGCAATTGTTGACCTTATTTGGTTTGGATGCTAACAAACAAATTAATTTATTTGTCCTTTGGTGTTGCGTTATGTACCAATGGCCATATCTTTGGTTTAACAATTAGATATATGAGGTCAGATCTATGAGCTTCCACACTAGAGTCTTCGAGTACAACATCCCAAGACCACTTAGATGTATATTTGAATAAGCATGTCATATTCATTGTTGTCGAGCCTGCAACATTGTGTAGCAAAAACGAGTCATAGCGATCCTAAATTCCGTCGTCGGCATTGTGAAATTTAGGTTCAGTCTGTGTTTAAAGTTTCATAACTTTGTCAAACCTTAGATAATTCTTGGAATTTTATGCAACTTAGACAGAAACATTTTTATGATCAAACGATATTTTCAAGAATAAAAGTTTGAAAATATTGTCTTATTTCCACAGTATTTTACTGATAAATGAAATGATTTTTTTTTGCGCAGTTAACATTAAGATACAGTCTAAGGTTAAAGTTTTTCAGACATCAGTTACTTAGTACTTTGTCAAACCTTCATGGAATTTTAGGGGAAATGGACAAAAGCTTTTTATGATCGAAAGACAGTATCCCAATAAAAAAATTGTTTTTCATATTCGTATTTTATTGATAAAAGGACCTAGTTTTTGGCAATTAAAATATTGGGTTAAACGATTTTTAGACACCAAATAACTTTATCAAACCTTCATTGAATGAAACTTGGCAGAAAACATTTTATGATTGAGAGATAATGTCTGAATCAAAGTTTTATATTTTGTTGTATTTTTCCGTATTTTACAGATAAGTTGACTTAGTTCGTTTGAAGTGAACAAATACATAAAGTCTGGAATAACATTTTTTTAAACATAAGTAACTTTATTAAACCTTCATGAAATGTTTTAACACTTACAATTAGGCTTCTTCAAGATTAAGAAATAGCATATGAAGAAAAAAGAATTTCATTTTTAAGATAAAGAAAAAAATGAACTATATTACAAAGAATTTCTATACTGTAAATAATAATTGTCATCTTACAGGCTGCAGAAAAGGCAATTAAAAGTGCAAGATGTGCCACTGATTATGACAGTTTGGTGTTTTCACACAACTTGACTGATAATATACCCGATTCCGATGGTAGACTGACAGATTTGGCTCTTCAACTGAAAGGAATACTGAAAGACGTCAATCTTTTGCGATACCCAGATCATCAGGGTACTATTCCAGCAGATCGATATTCAAGAGACAACGCTATCCAAGCTCTTCAAATTACAAATGAAGTTCTTCAATATATATCTAGGAAATATTTTCCAAATTGAATATAAAATTTAAGAATTGTACATTTATTTCATTAAACATTATACTTAGGAGTGATCGTTTTACAAGCGTTGTATAAATTTGTATATGAATATATATCGTAAAAGGGTAAAAAAAAATTCTGAGTGCCATATCGACACAACACATCGTATGGATAGAAGCTTTCTGTCCAATTTTAAATAACGATACAAAATCGTTTTGATATTGTATTCCTCGAACATTAAGCTTCGCGTCAATTTATAAGTTTGGTCTCACATTGTCTTCTGTTCGAAAACTTTCGATCAGTCCTTTAGGCGTCAGAATCATTACTCTCAGGAAAAGTGATCATACTGGGCCACTTTCTCAATTTTTATATTCTTTCTTGAAGAGATTCATTTTCGTCGAAGTGAAAATAAAAAGTTTTACTTAAAGGGCATTAGCTGTCCAATTAATGTTCACCGATTTGACTCAAATTCTCATGCTTGATTTATAACATACTAAAACGTATGTCCAAATTACAAAAAATCTAAATTAAACATGCATGGAGTCGATAATAAGTATCAACATTTCGTGTGTATTTTTTTATCTAGACGTCATCTAATTAACCATCGAGATACGTCCGAAGACTGCCGACGGTCATATAACCCGATATAAACATAAATATAAATATAAACAGATAGCGACCACGTGCAATTGGATTTTTCAAGGTCTGTTTGATTTAATATTGTAGGTTAAAAAGTATATTTATAATCGTTTTAACCTGTATAAGAATGATTTATTGTGGATAGAATCAGTCAACCAATTGCTTCATCCTTGTTTCACTTTCAATGTTGACATTCTTTTTCTTTTAATAGCTGAATACATGCGTAACCCATCTCCAGCTAAGGAATTAAGTTGGGGATCACATGAATACAGATTCAATGAGGTCGAATTATTCACTTTCAAGTGAATAATTCATCAGCGATGGTTCTTAGCTTATTTTGACAATTGAACCAAATTGGCTGCTAAAAGCGAATTAGTATTTCACTATATCACTTCCATCAATGATTGAACAAAAGAAAATCATATTTTGTTTTATATATGTCTCGAAGCTAATGCCCCTTTAAAAATTGAGAAATTGAATTGTTTCCCGTTATAATATTAAGATACGAAACCAACTGACAATTGCAAGAAATGTTCTTTATGTAAATCTTCACTGGTCTGTAAAATCTTAGGACGATACGGCAACATCCATAAAAGATGATATTAGTATAAATACTTAAAAATCAGAAAATTCATTTAGGTGTTGCGTTTCTATTGACACTCAGTTTGAATTAAATATGCAATCAATATACATGTAAAACTGTAGTCAAGTGGTGGAATAAATATTTAAATATATTTCATTTATGTTTTACAAAGCCTTGTTACGTACCAGTCATGTTTAAAATCAAATATTAGAAATTACAAATTATCTAACTTTCGACATTTTATCACAAAAGAGTATGTAGAGATATTATTGTACACACCGGCAATTGAAAATCGAAATATTTTACATGCACAAATAAATGTTTATACGCATAGTCATGTATCCAGACATACACAATTATGAAACAAATGAGAGATGGTTTACCTAACGGCATTAAAAACAACGTGAGTGTTTAACATGTTTAACGACCTTGACTGGCTATAAAGGCATCACGCGGTCGGCCAATGAGGCAAACATCCAGGCATCTTATATACTAGACAAAAATACATCCCAAGTTTACATGCACATACCTCATGACTTTGCTTTAAATCTCCCGTGCTTACATATTTAAATCGTAAATCAAATTTTATAACCCCTCAACAGCTGATCAGATAATTCACGTAGAACTGGCCTCATGTTCCTCTGATCGTTATTTTAGCTTTTTTTCTTTAATATTATATATAAAAAGAACTGCAAAGTATATACCCACTTTTTATTAGACAATGACGCAATATTTCTTGCTCAGTACATATAAGAAATACAAAGTAATGTCAAACATGAAGTGACATCGGTACAACTCATCATTTATTATAAACTTCTTGATAATGACTTTATACAGTTCTCAGCTGATTAATATACGACGAAAAAAAAGTACCTTCAGTTATCGACATTAATTCGATCTGGATAAGTCCTGAATTACACAACTTTTTCATGACGTCACAAACCAGTTGAAGCTAACTGGTGTCCTTATTAAAAAATCATTATGCATGCATTGGGCACAAAACTTTTTCAAAAGATACATTTTAAAACCACCGTTAACAGGTTAACACCTCAAACTATGCATTTTTATTACTTTTATTTGTCTTTAAAAATTGGTTCATAAACTTTCACAGTTTCAAAGTGTTCCCTTTCTTAAATTTTCCCTCCCTTATATCATTACTGATGACCTTTATTTTGACAACACTTTACCACAACAGGAAATTGGGTTTTTTTCCGGATTGAATTAAGTAGCAATATGGTCTATTGGAATGAAACATTACCTTATAAAAATGTAAGATATAACGAAAACTTTTTTTTATTTTATGGTCAATACGGTAATGCCAATATGACCCAAAATAAATTGTTTCCGGATGTTAACGTGATTTTCCTACGTAGATTGGTATGAAACTTATACGCATATGAAAGTTAAAGGAAGCGTGAAGACACTTTCGATTTTAGGGGCACTGTACCCAAAAATATATATTATTTGAAATGGCTTCCGGATGGTAGCTTGAGTTTCCCTTGCTTGATTGAAATGAAACTTATACTGATGGAAGATAAAAGAAAGGGATAGAAGCATATTGAATTTTGGGTCATCGGGTCAAAGTTCAATGTAAGTTTCACTTAGTAGAGGCTACACATACTGCTACTTGGACAATGAACAACATGGAAAACTTCTATTATGGCCAGTCGGCAATAATCAATTTGGATTATGTGGCATATTGGTTAACCCCCCTTTTGCAGCCAGACTCCTGAAGACATATGTTAATTGTGGTACGTTGCATAGAAGTAGCCATGTCAATCTGGACCTTATTTACATGTTCCTCAAAATAGTATGACCAGCATACAATAGCTAAGTTGAACTATGTGGCATATGGGTACACTCTCCCCCCAAAACAAATATATCAACAAAAAATAAACAAAAAACAAACAACAGCAAACCACCCTTCTTACCTCATCAAATGCAGCCACACTTGTGAAACTCTTAGTAATACGTGGCTAAGTGCATAGCTGAAGCCATACCGACTTATTCCCTTGGTATCATAATGAACGTAGCGAGTATATGTAACTATGGCCAGCCGCCAATCCATGTTGGAGTATTTGGTACACTTCGTCTGTTGTACTATTATCAACGGTCCTTTCATAAATTTTGCGGATATTTTGCATTTAATGTTTTGATTTTCTATGAGATTGTTTTCCAGATCATCTAGTTTTAAAAATGCTGTTTTCTATTCAGGTTTCCGCTTTCCCACTTTATATTGAGCTTATTGATTTTCGCATTATTGTGACAATTATGTTAATTCCTCTACAAATAAAAAACAAACCCGACGCCGTGATATTATATACAGAAGTGTAAGACTATAAACTCACTAATGAACAATGCAAAGACAGATAGATAATTGCTATGTAATATTAACACATTGGAATGTACAGCGTGATTTTTAAAAGGTTCGATACATTGACTAAGGAGGTTATATGACCTTCTTGCATTGACATACATAAATCAATTACTTGCAAGTAGTTAGTTTCTCGAGATGACGTTTTGAGATGCAGTTTCTTCCCTTTAATTTCTTCCAATAACATTTGTTTGTTCCTCTTGTACTATTTTAGTTTTTTTTTCGGCAGAAAAAAAGCAATTACTTGCATTAAAAATATTGCTTAATGTTAATAGATAGTTTTTAGTATTGATTTTTCTGTTGTGACATATTTGAAAAAAATCTTGTTTTCGCTTACCATAATCAATTATCTCTTCAAGTTTAACAGATATTTATACTTCACAGGTATTTGTATATACAGAGCAGCAGCTTGTTATATGTAAGTAAGGCTTCAGTCACATTCACTCTGTACGCATTGAACAATGAGTGAGCTGATTCCTTCACTTGCTTATTCACGGAATACTGCTTTTATATATAACGTACGCTAATCAAAGATCATATTTTATTCTAATATGTATGTGAAGTTAGCGGCCGGTTCGTTATACATTTATTTCCCGTGCCGGAGGGAGATATGAAGATTTGTTCACCCAAGAATATTCATATTTCACGAGGGCTCTGCCCGAGGGAAATATGATTTTTCGAGGGTGAGCAAATCTTCATATCTCCCGAGGCAAAGGGAAATGAATGTCTTATTCCACTGCCTATGCTTTGTTTACTATCAATACATTAAATATTATTTTGCATACATTTTTTTTCTTATCCGCTTGTTTTTGTAAGTCAAACTAAACACGACATACCCATTGATAAACAGTAAGGATCAAAATTAAACTATAAGTCTTTTTGTTTTATCGTCTGAAATAAATTTGAACATGATAAGGATTTTTGCTATCGCTATTTTAAGAAGAATAAGAAGTTCAAAACGTTATGTACATTAACCGCGCGTAACGTCGCACGAAGTAATCCCGACATTTCAGAGGGGAATATGATCCTCAGAATGGAATATGAAGATTTGTTCAATGACACGTGGGATAGTCTCAACCAATCAAATATTGATTAAACTAATAATATGTTTAAACAGTGGAATAATATTCGTTATTCGATATTTAATATCCACCCGGCTGCTAGCCGTCGGTTCGATATTCAAATTTTCTTAGTTGAATTTAATAAAAATTTTAACTTTGATGACATTAAAAGCATGATAGGAGTAAAAATCAAGAGATGAAGGAAATCTGTTTACGACCAATTTAAGTTATCATAAATTAAAACCCTTATGTAAATCGAATTTTTCTCTGTATGAAATACAGATTTTTATCAATAGAATATAATGAAAGATGTACACTTAAAAGATGATATTTCAAGAAACAAAAACAAACGGCCACCTTGGTAAGATTTAAAAATATAAAAAGAAACAACTATGGAAGACCAAAAAATAAGGAGATATTTTCGATTGACTAAAATCAAACTATACACAGGAAAGTTGGCCGTGGGCGTTGGCTAGATATTCCTCATCTCTCAATCTTCATAATATTATGCAGATAGTTAGTTAATATATAGATATAAATGACATCAAACGGAATTTGGGTAAACTTTTCGTCTTCTATGTTTATGGAGGGCTCAAAGTGCCAGTTTGATATTCAACATATATATTGAAAACCTACCGGAGACCGCTGAAAAAACAGTGAGACCCCCCTGGTCTTTTATTATCCATAAAATTTAATATTCTTGTAGACTTTGTATATATACAGAAGCTATCAAAAGGATTTTGCAGAATAATGTCATCTTCGATATGTATGGAGGGCTTAAAGTGTAATTTTTCAAATGAAAATCATCAAAAACTCAGGTAAAAGGCCACAGGGTGTTGGCTAGATCTTCCTGATCTCTCAATCTTCATAATATAATGCAAATAGTTAGGTAATATATAGATATTAATGACATCAAACGGAATTCGGATAATCTTTTCGTCTTCTATGTTTCTCTCTTTTCAAAAGCTATATGGAATTTCCATTGTTACAACTGTCAAAATAATAGACGATTGACAGGAATTGTAAATAATAAATTAAAGTCAGTTAATTAGATAATAATGAATTCTTTTTAAAAACATTTATATCCACAACATTTTGTTTGTAATCTTGGAAAATGCATTCAATCAGTTCATTCAGAGAAAGCGAATGGGTTTAATAACAATTTGTATAAAATCCATACGATTCTTAAACCACCAGATATATCCAAAGCTTTATAGGATTTGCAAATGCATTCTTTCAATTTCCTTGAATGTCATCAAAATATGTTGAAATACTCTGAAACATTTGTCCATTCAGCTAGTATTATTAATTACATATAATTTTTGACTTTTTCCGTACATCATAGACATATAATATAGATAAACGGAAAAGAGTCATAAAATTGGTAGGAAAAAAATCAGAGAAAAAAAATCACAAATCTAACATGAAATAAAGTCACAGACAAACAGCATTTTGTTTTACCTTTTTAGTGGTAATTGACACATTACTCCTCAAGTATCTTTTGTAACCCTTTATTATAAACACAGTGCAGGTAAACTCCTCTTTGTTTTTTCCGTTTTTTATTCATTATGTGCTTTTGTTACGGTGACAATTTATCTTCTTTAATGTACATAGTGTTTTTTTTTGGGGGGAGGTTCAGATCCATAAAAATAAACAGTTACTTTAACCCTACTACATATATAATCATATTCCTGTCCAAGTCAGGAACCTAGCTTT